GAGTGTACGAAGGGCACCATCTCCTTAGAGAGACCCTAGAAGAAAGTAGTCACAACAGAGAACAGAACCCTTCACTATCAATCGTAAGTTTAAAGACCTTGCTCACGACCTTAACATCCTTCGACACAGATAGATACACAGAGTCCCGGCAGTCATCGCTAATGGCTAGAAGTCCCAGCAGCGTATTGAAATAGTCGACAGTTTCATCCTGGAGAAGCATAAAGCTGCTGGCTTCTCTAACCAAAAGCAATATCTATCTTTATGACCTCTTGACTGGTCTGGTCATCCGCGGTACCAGATATGATGTTACATTTATGCAATAACTCTTGAGACTTGTTTCTGGCTGATAGCTCGCCGTTTAGCTGTGGCGTATAACTAAGATATAGTAGAGAACAGGACTGTTTGGTAGAAATTGTCCTCCTGGCCTTGTATGGGCGTCGTGAAGTTTTAACGTAGTCTTGACCTTACGTTTACTGGTGGAACTCTAACCTATTTTTTTTTTTGTTTTTTTTTTTTTGCTTGATGCTTGCAACAATACGTTTTGTAAAGACGTACCTACCTACGATTTACTTGGCTTTTTTCGGTGAAAACTCTCTAATAAAGACCGGCTCTTTCGCTTGTCTTGCTAGAATCCATGCTAGCTAGTCCTTACAATAGTGTGACGAGGGCTGGTATGGGACTCGGAATTAGTCATTCAAATTCAACCAATAATTCTCTTGGGTCTCAAGGGCCTTGTCCCCCTCTCTTCTTGAGAAAGAGGGAGGAAAGGCTCCTACTTATGCACGTTGGGCTGACCGCCTTTAGTCAGTCATCCTTATCTTCTCCAAGCGCCCGAGACGCTGTTGGTACGTCTTGCAGGTCGCCGTATAATGGTTCAGCCTATAGGAGTATCCCCAATGCCTCCATCACCAACACCTCTGCCTTGGGGGCCATATCCATGAGTGCATTTGCCTGATCGATTGGCTATAAGGCTCTGATATACCTCTTGGCACCCCGGGCCGTATCTGGCCGTGTGACAAATAGTGCTCATTCACATATGTATATAGCATCGTTATTATATTTCACCTAAGGCAGGTTATCCCTATACACCTAGCACTGTGGTAGAAACGTATCTTCGTCCTCAAACGTAACTAGTTGGTTGCCTGTTTCTACGAGCATCATCGGCGAGTGTCGAGGCTACTTCCTCTAGTTACCCCCGGACATTGCAATGTAGCGGACTGGGCTCTGAAAATTGGGCAGGTAGCACCGAAAAAGTTTTTTTTAATGCTCGAACCCTGATAATAGCAATGGACATGGCCGACGTACAGTACCTAAGGCTTTCATTTGTATCGAAGTAAGATGGCCAGAAGGCGAGAGCTATGGTGAAGCTGAGGAAAGGACATATCCATCTCTGGGTATTTGTGTACAGGGCTTCGTGGCAGTCGTTCCAAGACGTCGGTGGATTGAAGAATACCGACCTACATTGAAATCAGAAAATCAAAATCAGTATAAAGATGCTACGGAGCTAGCTACTCTAAGATCACTGTAATAAAAGCAAAACAGCAAGATCAGTACGTCAGAATATATTTCGGCCAATGAAAAAAGAGGACCAAGATTTTTATTTTGCATTATTTTACAGCTCTGTGATTCGTGCCGCGCTCTTATTGTACTAGTGCGTGCGGGTGCGCAAAAAACGGTTGCGCCGGGATGGGTGACGAGACGACGTAACGCGACTGGAGGTGCCCAATTTTCAAACTATCAAAGGTCGCGTTCGGTCTCCCACAAATCTTTCCTCTCTCTTCCTTTTCTTCCACACCACCCACAATACCACACCAACACAAAAATATCAAAACTCTTTCACCACATGAAGGGATATCATAAGCTTTGATTCACAGCATTGCTAATGGTATCCCTTCTATGGTTTATATATACTAAGTATCATCAATGAGTTCATCCACCCTGCCATTCTTCACCCATGCGTCATGCGTATGCCATCCGTTATTCATCACACTTCGTCGCGTCTATTCTTTCTTCGATGCTTTGCATCGACAACACGATCCAATATCTGGTCAATTATGTTGTTGGTTGCTGGTCATCGCTAGCAGACTAGAAGAAAGCGTCCTTACGCCATCACTGCCACGACAGACGGGAAGAGAAAAGATAACGATGTCATCACTCCTTCCGGAGGACTTAGCCTTAACGGCACCATCACGAAACCTGACTTCAACCAGTAAGTTCCCTAGCAAGCAGTCTGACTTCCTTTCCATTCAATCATTAGCCTTTCGAAGTAATGAGTGGCGAGAGAGCTGAAGATGTTTTCCTCGCCAGTCTCAAGTCTGGGCGATGTTGACTCAGTTGCAGACCGTCATAACGCTGGCGTATGTGGGCTTGTCGTCGGCGCCATCAACTCGGTGGACTCCGACGACAAGCTCATTCGGATATGCGGCGGGGGTGTCCTCGCCTTGCGATGAGATGGATGTTAGTCTATCTGGGTATCTACCTCGCTGCCTCCTTCGCTTACACAAGTAAGCAAAGTACCAGGAGTTCCCGTCACCCTGCAAAGGGCTGCGGTGTGCCTTTTGCCGTAAGTGAGTATATTAACCACATCAAAGCTTATTCTCAGATACTAAGCCCTTGTAGGGAATATGTCCAGTGCAGGACAAAAGCCTCAGGCGTATCACATACTCAACACGCAGACGCAAGCAACGCATACCTAGGTACGCAGAGTATAATAAACTACCTAGGTACCTATGGGAGCTTCGACGACGCACAGATGAGCTAACATATCGTCTTACAAGCAGACTCTAAGAAAATGGGCGACAGCGACAGCACTTCCAAGAGATGCTGGGGGGGTTTCTTCAAGACACCTACGCCAGGAGGTCCGCTTTCCGCAATCCAACATTCCGACTTTGTTTCCTACCAAAGCAATCCCTCCTTTACCGGGGAGGTATTACCTTGATCGAAAAGGTGGTACTCCAGACGTCCTATGCGCCATAGACTTTGCTATATCTATCAACCTATACCCGAACACAAACAACAACAATAACAATAACAACAGGTCTTCGCGGGGCTCCTGGCGGCAGTAGAGCCACGCCTGCCCCCCAACCGGCCTACGCGGCTGGTCGGGCTACTGCCTGACGCTGCCGCGGGCACACTGCCGGGCTCCAGCCCACGCGGCAGCCCAGGATGCTGGTGGTGCCAATGATACCCGTGGTGGTGCTCACGGCGCCCCTGCGGCGCCCCAGCCAGCGCAGCCGTCAATAGCTCCGCCATCAACGGCCACGAGCATGACCTCCTAAACAGGCTGTGGCCGGTGCCCTTCCCGCACCTGCGGGCGGCCAAGCCGTCTTAGCTGGCGGGGCTGGCAGGTCCATTGTTCGTGGTATACTGCCGGCCCCGCCGGCCCGGGCCACAGCCTACACCGCGGCTGGTGCTGCTGGCTAGTGGCTAGTGGGGGTGCGGAGGACAAGTACACCAAGTAGGCCGTGCCGCTGCTGGTGCGGCCAGCACTTTCAACCGCATGTCCGCCGGCACCTTACTCGGCGATGAGAGCTGGGGGGTCGGACCCATCCCGAACGGACGGGGCCGGCGGCAACTGCAGCTGCGCTAGCATGCCCGCTGGCCCCCCTTCCCTCCAGCTCTACCAGAACGAAACAGTTCCTCGCAAGGAAGTCCAAATCTCACCTCATCGACCAAGAACGCCAAGGCGAAGCGTCCCATGCGGCGGCCATCTCTGCTGCGACTGTTACACGCTGCCGCCTCCCCGTCTTCCCAGTCCTACCGGGAGGCCTTTCCCTCGTTCGAGAGCACATACACTCATTACCTAAATCCGGGGGGGATAGCATCCCCGACACCCACGTCTTTGCGGTCCGCGCCTCTTCCACTGCAAGAGGGACCGCGATGGGTACCGCGGCCGAGCCTAGATGGCCAGTCCTGGCCAGGTTGACAAGGTATGCGCGGCGGGCCCAACCACCACCAAGTTAGGGTCCGCTGCCGGCCGCCCACCGCCATGGGATCGACCCTTTCCTCGCGAGGAAGTCCACATCCTTCACGGACGGGGCGTGGCCTCGCAGGTATCTGCGACAGTGCTCCTTTGTCACGCTGCCGTCCCGGGGCCCTTGGAGAGAGGGAAGGGTGACGAGCGTAACAGAAGTGCGCGATGAACTCGGGTCGGGGACCGGGGCGAAGTAGGAGGGTCTTGCCGAAGCCCAACGGCAAGCTAACCCCCTCCGCCTTTGTATCTCCCTCTTGGTCGTCGTCGTTCAGTATATATATCGAGTACTCAGTTGGGCAGTCTTTCATTAGTGTATATACGTTAAGGGGGATAGAGGAAGTTGGGAGGAATAAAGTTGCGTTTGACACCTAAATATGAATCAAAATGCTTACGGTGACTTGTACGACTTCATCACATCTGATGTTGATAGAAAGTATACATTAAATCTCCCATATCTTAACAGCGTTGCCCATAGGATAGTAGTGAAGATGCTGCGAACTGCCATAGCGCGGACCAAGTGATGAGGAAATTGGTCTTTTAATTAACGTGAGGTTGCGAACATAGCAGTCGCGAAACTCTGTCTATTCCCAACAAGTGAGGACAAATAGGACATCATCAAGAAGTTTCAAACTCGGTTCTCCTTTACTGCTGGTGTCTATCGGGCTGGAGACGGGGTGCTAACACCGGCAACTGTTTAGGCAGAAGCCAGAGCCACTCAGGCATAAATCACTAAGTCGATAGTCTCTGTGCGAGAAATGAAGTGAATTGTCATCTTAGGGAGCTATGTGTCTCTCCAGGGTATGTTCAAAGGCATCCTATGCTGTGGTGTGCGTGGATCTCCCTATGATGTGAGGAATAGCTTTTCTGCCACGAACCTGAATGCACACGAGAAAGGGAATTCAAAAACTGGACTTGAATATAGTTGTGTAGAGCTATGAGCGCAATTAACTTGAATGCAGATAATAATAAAAAATAAAGGAGGCCTTTGGATATCGTGGGTGCAAAATGTGAAGCGGGCGAAAAAAAAGGGTGCCTGAGGGATTCGAACCCTCGATCTCTCCCATACGACCGTGCGACCGGACCCAAAGGGAGTGAGTTAAACCACTTCTCTAAGGCACCTGTTCACCTCAACTTGGTGAAAATACTAGGCGTAAACTGATCTATATGCGTTGCGTGTTTGGGGCGATTGATTGCCACGGATACGCGACTAGAGAGGCGACGCGCGGGCCTCCCCTTTCTGAACTTGTAGGGATACCGGCCCAAACAAATGTTCGCTTTATTCTCATCCCATTTATCTCGCTGCTCTTTTCTCTTTGCACTCTGCCTCAGTTCCCACGCCTCACAAGGACTGACTCCTTGCTCTCCAAACGACCGTTACCCTGTTTCTCATGAGAAGACACCAAAGAAGTTATCACAACTGTCAGTACAAGAGACAATTACAGTGACAGGTGCGCAGAGGCTGTGCCGACATTCAGTCATCTACATACCTGCCCAATGCCTTGATGGTGCGATCTCAACAGCAATATCCTCCAGCGCCCTGTTCAGCACCACCCGCCGAGAACCTCTACCGCAGGACTCAACAGCATTATTTGTCGTCCCAAGGTCATTTTAAACAAGCACCACTCGAGTCATATAAAGGACAATACACATCCAGTTGCCGCGTGGTTTGTAAAGCAAACACAACTTAGATACGACGAACTAGTTGTACCCGGTTAGCGTGCGTATTTATAACAACCACCGCAACGCCTTGGCATTCACAAATACACAGCTCAAGACTGACAATGACATGTAGTTACCTGCCTCTGTAATGGGCACAAGCAGTCTCGAGTAAAGAATAGAATGGCCCAGACCTGTATAGCTGGGCTAGCGGTGACTCGTCCTAAGAAGGGTTCCGACGCAAGTACGACGACGCCTAGCATACCCGTATGCCACCACCCGACGGTCACCAACTAGCCGATATATCTTCGACCCTGCGGAATACTCTTCCTTGTCATAACGTGCGCCGGTTTGACGGTTTTGAGTCGCCGCCCACTTGGGTACGGTACATGCCCCCTTTACACACCGCGGTGATCAGCCAAAACCTGCAACGAGCCGATGGGAACCTAGTCTACAATGCTGGTGATATAACATGACACATACCTAGGTACCTACATAGTGACCAGAGAAGCAGATACCCGGCGAGCCTTCCTTGCCATTGGCAGTGTCTCAATCGAATATCGGAAGTGTCTCACCTCCCACGTTAGGCCCCCAAGTTACACGGGGCCCAATCTAAGAATCGTCCCGTCTCGAAGAATAGGTATATCCCGACACCGCTCCGTGTCTAGACACCCGCATACATGTACGGAGATCACCCGCGCGAGTTGAGACACAGGCGTCGCAGAGTCGGGCCCGAGGCACGCGAGGAGCGGTTGTCTCAGCCTCGGGGCTCAGCCCTATCCTATGGGGTGACCTACCCTTTGCTCGCCTTGTCTCACAAGACTAATGGACGAGGCCGCGCACACCGGCTTCCCGTCCATGTGGCCGGGGACGATCAATCCCGTTCACAGCAGCGCGACGGAAATTGCTGCTTTCGATCACGGGCTTGGCATCGAAGGCGGCTGCCTTTCTAAGACATCGGCGAGTTTACATACAAAAACTAGGTTACGCAAAGACGGCACAGAAGGCATGTACGTACTAAGAGCTATAGCTATAGGTAAAATTACGTATTGAAGGAGTTAAACCATGTCTATATACGACTGTATATCTGTAATCACGAGAGCAAGACGACTTCGGATTCCCGGGAGACACAGCACTGACGTCCTCTCTAGCCTCAAGCACGATGACGACCCCCGAGCTCCCCAAGCCTCAGCTAGCCGGTCGGCACAGCTCCTGACGATCCTACGTTACCCTACCCTACCTAGAGCCTGCCGTCAAGACGCCGGGCCGCGGCCTCGAGAATAAGCTTTCACCGGCGCCGCTCCGTCGCAGCGACGGCTCCGCGCCGCGGCAGACGCCGTCGGCGCTAGCCCAGGCCAGCCCCCAAGCACGTACCTAACGCGCACACACGCCTCGGCATGCGGATAGACTAAAGCAGGAGATCTGCCCCCAAGTTGGGTTGGTGGGGGGGAGATGGATGGGTTGGATTTGCGACAGCTCGTTTTTGGGCTCTTTGCGGCCGCAGTGGAAAAAAGTGATAGGTGACTGAATCAACCAAGCAAGGGAGAAAAGGAAGACAGGACAAGACAAGAAGAAGAGAATTGCCGCGTCTGCGATGGGATTCGGTAACGGTTGAATTCGGCTACGCGGAGCGCTTGTGCGGCCTATGAGAGGCGTCTATCTATCTGTCCTGCGTTCCCTCCCGCCAAAGACGCAGCGCTGCGTCTGCAGGTTATGTACATATATTACGGTAGCACTCTAGCGAAGCGCAGAAGAGAAGGTAAGTAAGTCATTTGATCCGTCGTTTACGACGGGCCGCGCCCAATGGACCTTCCGTCTAGCGCCAGAGAAAGAGAGGAATTAGATTAAGCAGAAACCTGATAGGAGGCGGGACGAGGGTGACATGGCGCCGCTGCAGGTAATCTACGGGGGGGACTCGTCACCTGTTACACGGTCGTCGTCGTCAATACGTTTCGCCTCTCTTTCTGCCTCTGCTTAGCTCGTTGGGGATCGTCGGGAATAGCTCTTTAGCGCGTATGCGTCTGCCGGGTTACGAGAAGGCGAAAAAGACCGAAATGCTCAGAATGCAGGTGGCCGCGAGAGGGAGGCGGCGAGCGGATCTCGAATGTCGATCGGAAATCAGGGTCTGTCCTATTTGCTTCCGTCTCGGTAGAGAATTTAGGGGAAGCACGTCTACTATCCAATTGTCGAAATTACCTGGCCATTCAATATCTCGAAGTCTTCGCGAAAGAAAAGAACCAAAAGAAAAAAAAAGGCGAATTGGGGAAAGGCGATTGGGGATTGCCGATCTCTTGTCCCGATCCTGCCACTACCGGGATGGATCGAAGGCGCGGTACCAAGGAAGCTTGGCGATTGGCATCATCATCATCGTACGGAGATGCAAAGACCAAGGAGACGCGGTCTCCTGACGGGATGCTAGATAATGTATGTACACATACGTCCGACCTGTGTTGTAGAAGAGTGGCAGCTATGCCACGTTGTTCGCCACAATGATGCAGCGCGGACGGGGGATGCAGAAGAGACAGAAAATCGGCTTGGTGACACGACGGGACGTAGGCGACGGGGGATCGCGCTACCGTTGCAGGCGGGCCCTTGCTTGGTCGCTTTTTCTTTTTCTTTCCTGAAGAAAGTCGAAGGTGGTGCGAAGGCGACGGTACCATCTGTATGTATGATATTGCAGTGTGTGGTTGTAGTCTATCGATGGCGATGGTAGCAGGCGTGGCGAATGGAAGTCTTCGCTCCTGTGACGGCGTGGGATGGTGATTCGTGAGATCTTCCTGCTATATTCATATGCTACCTAGGCATACCCAACAGCTCGTCGCCGTTGATACACGTACGTAAATACGACGGCCGAGTCCGAGATTCTTACCAATTGCAATTGCTCAAGGCTAGCTGCTAGGAGGTAAGGTATGAAGACGGATACGGCAGTGATGGCATCTCATTGGCATGCCGAATCCTGTCCAGAAGCCGGGTATAGATCCACCAGCGAGTCTTCTATAGAGATGCATTGACGGCTCAATTCGTTGATTGGCCGGCGATGACGACACGGTTGAGTAGGAAATGCTACTGTGAATGCGCTCTGCGCCGCTGCGATGCGACGCGTCTTCTCACGTCCCGTTATTTCTTCGAGAGACTGACCTGACGGGGCGAGGGCGAGGTGCCCCCCAAAGGAACCAACCCCGTCGAAGCCCATCGCCCTCCAACTGTGCATATATCTAGGCACGAGGCGCCAGCGTTAGTACGGGATCTGCACATCGGTGAAAAAAATGCCCATGACTTGCAGCTTAGTCTCTCTTTAGGTGGGTTCCAGGTCGGCTGCATGAGGCCCAGTCCGTGGGCTGCTAACCACCGGTTCTCGACACGGCAGAAGACGGCTTGGTCTTGCAGAACTAAGGCCTAACCTAGGCCAAAAGGTGAGACCAAAAGGTGCGAACGCGCACCCACCCTGGCGGCTCCATGATCCGGGGTAGAAATGTCCGGCTTAGATTTTTGCCATTGAATTACGACAGGTGCTTCAGGTCTGGGCTTGGAACAGAACGCCAGCCGCGTCTCGTAGGTTGAATGAGAACATATAAGCGTTGCTAAACCTAGTCGAGCAGATCTGGACTTTTCTCTCTGACGTATTCGATGGTTCTATGTGGCCTGACAAGCCTCTTTCCTGTGCAACACATCTCTTCGGCGCCCCGGTAGTATGTCTCGATCTTTTCCGACACCTTTGTTGGAACCGTCGGAGAAGCTCGGGTTGTTGGTTCTAGACGTTCTGACGTCCCGAGCATTCCAACTAAAAATAGTCTTATGTATTTTTGATAATCATTGACTAATTGATATCACGTAGCTGGACAGCCTAGACGGCTATTCCATTGTCTCAAGCATCTCTCGGTCTTTCTCAGGCACAAAGGACGACGCGACCTCGGCGACGTCATGGAGCCCATGTCCAACATGACTTAGAGAGAGGCCGGTATTGGCGTGGCTAGGATAGACAAGGCCAACTTGGCTTGCCTTGGCAGCCAATCCTGCCAGTTAATTAGCTAGTGGGTGCTTTAGATGGATGTGATTTTCCCTTTCTGGCCTTTCCCGAGGATGGGCATGCTGCTAGGACTGGTGTACGTAGCATGATCGGCATATCTCAGAAAGGCATCCCACCCTTGCTTCTCCGTCTTAACTAGCCTGCTAGGGAGCCCCTGCGCATACGAGCACGGGGCGCCGCGGTGCTTGTGAGAAAGTCTGGGGAAGACAAGGGTCGAGGACCTGAGGTTAGTGCGGAGATGAGGCGGCTGGCAATCTCGGAGTGGTTGCTCTCGTGGCAATATCATAGCAGGACTTGGAAGATATGGCGGATTGGATTATATGATGAGATGCTTCTCTTTGGTTAGTCTTGCCAACTGATGCTGCTAGTAGACCCATAGATGGGATCTGTCTTTGTTAACTGTAGTCGTAATCATGAACTGCTGCCCGAGAGCAAC